AATCAAAGTTATAAATCAAATATAATTATTTGTGTGTTTATATATATAAATATAAAAATATGTCCAGGTCAAATTTTATCCAGATTCATTCCAAGTATTAAAATGACATTAGATGATCAAATATGAATAATACATTAAAATTAAATATATACAAAATAAATAATAAAAAGAAACCACTTCAGTATCTGAAGAAATAAAATGACTTTAGATTTATAAATAATAAAAAAATTAATAAAATGACTTTAGACTATAGCTTATAAATCAATTATAAATTTTATATATATTTATATGCAATTTTTTATTAATTTAAAAATAAAAAACATGCCCAGATCAAATTTCACCACAGAATCTAAAGAAAATAAAGTGATATTCATTTTAAAAATATAAATCATAGATCAATTATCAAGTAAAATTAAGCATAAATTAAATATTTGTAATACATTTACATATAATACTTGTGTATGCCTTACAAATATAAAAACATGCGCAGGTCTAATTTCAGCCTAGAATCTAAAGAAATCAAAATGACATTTTTTTAAATATAAATTATAAACGAGAATTGAAATATAAATGCGTGTAATTGCAATGCGTTTGCATGTGATATTTTGAAAATACTTATAATAATTACACATGGATTATAAATGTAAATGAACTCATTAGATGTGTATACACTGTATATATAATATTTAATATATATATATAAAGAAATAAAATCTCATTCGCATAACACGCAATGCATCTGGAGGTTTTTCAATAATCGCCCATATTTTGATATTGCTCATATATTCACCTTTGTGCGATCTGCCGATGGTGAAGGAGAAGGGGTCGGGCTCTTTCTCGGAGGTCTTCATCTTGATGTCCATGGTGTTCTGGCCGTCCACATTCAGAGCGTCTCTCAGAACCGTGCACTTCTTGCCGGCCACAGTCACTCCATTAGAAAACAGACCACTGCGGTCACTGGCGATCATAGCCTGCACCTCGGACGCCTGACGGACACACACACAGACGCGGAGTCATGCAACAGAGGCTGGGACAAGCAGAAGCATCCTCCTCGTGTTTGCTCATGTTTCTGAAGACGACGCCTATCTGCAGCTCATCACACAGACCGTAATCAGCCTCCGGTGCTCCGAATCTATTCCAGGAAACTAGATCACAATCACAGCTCGAAGAATCACCTGGCTTTTGAGTGCATTGTGGGTTTTTATTCCAACATCAAGATTTTAGCTTCAAATGTACATAAAGTGCATCACTTCACGGTTTTAATAGGATGTCGGAAATAGCAGTAGCTACACGCCAGATCACTGCAACGACACAGATACAGCTGCAAGCACATCACAAATGTGACACTTCTCATGAGATAGCCAGCCAGCTAAGAGGAAGTTTTGTCCAGCGAATTATTCCACTGTATCATTTTCATCATGACGCGAACGTTACTTTTTAACGTCCTCCGAAACAAGTTGTAACATTTAAAAAACTAGCATTCTACTAAAACGTTTCTGGAAGACACATTCTGCGAACGATGTAGAAATAATGTTTCATCGCTGTATAAATAATATACCATCATTATTAAAGAGCAGATCACTTTATTTTGTTCGTAACTTTGAGAGAACCTCGGCGCAACGTTTTGAGAACGCTTCCTGTCAGATGATTTAGAGAGAGACAGCATCTCTAAATCCTTTAAAAGTCTGAGCTGCATGTTAAGACATGAACGGGGGAAACACACACACACACACACACACACACACACACACACACA